GTGAAAGCATAACATTGTGTAGGGGAGACCCACTTAACCAAAGAGCCTTGATGGTATAGCACAAATCCATCACTAATGTATAAAATGATGATATATGCTTATAAAAACAAGAGAGAATAATATATTTCCAATTACTTATTCAAGGATACATGCGTATTACATATCCATTGCTAAGGAATAAAAAAATGAATCTACGACATAACTTAGGCACTTATGATCACACATCTTGAATGGAAATAGGCATTTAGTGAACACAAATGGGGGCCTAGAGTCATACAGCTTATGGTCTAAGAAAGTATACAGACATGAATTACAATTGTAGGCAATTACAAAAATGTATAGTAAGGGAATATGGGCGAGTTAAGGAGCACACAGGATATATATCTGCCCAAACCAATATGCAAATCTAAACTAAGACCTGAAGAATGACTAAGAGGATGAGTAAGTTAACAGAACTGAAGAACAAAATAGGAAGAGAGTATTGCAAATAAGTCAAGAGACCTTAGAGAAAAAGTAAACAAAATCAAACCAAACCAAATGCCAATAAAATACACAGTACTTTCAAGAAGCCAAGTTTCACACTGCTAGAAAAGAGAATGTGAGAAAAGTTGAGATGAAGCTGCACAGGTAAGCAATATAGAATGGAAATGAAGAACTGAAAGGTGATGAAACAATTTAAGGGAATCACTTAGGAACCAGTCATAGATTGCCAGCTAAGAGAATATGACAGCCTGGATCAGGTTAATGGCAGTAGGAACAGAGGGAAATGGAGGGACTTAAGACTAATTAGGATGTGGAAATGATAGAATGTGGTGTAAGGATCACTCTGGGAGAAAAATGAATCAGGGATATCATCAGGCTTCTAATTTAGGCAAGTCTTTAACACCTTGTGGTTACCATCTCTTGATACTGAGCAGCCAGAAGAATGAGTTTGGTGGTGGTGGTAGGAGAACTGGACAAGGCAAAGCCTGAGGAATATACATATGAAGATGCCTGATAGGCAGTGGCATATGTGGGTTCCAAGCTCAGGAGAGTTGACCTGGACATACAAATCTGGGCCCAATGTATGATTAAGAAGAGTATATAAAGTGAGAAGAAACCTAGAACCCCAAACAGCAATATTTTAGGAAGAGGCAGAAAAAGATGATTTGGCAAAGTCAACTGGAGTAGATCTGAAATAGGCCTAGGGAGGTGGCCTTGGGTGTTGGTATGGGTGTTGGTATCTGTGTAAAGGGAATTTTACTGGAAATGAATACATTAGGAAAATGAAAGGCTATGGCAGCAGTTCTCAAACTCAAGCATACATCAGAACAACACTAGGAGAGCTTGTTCACATTGCTGGACACCATCCCCAGAGTTTCTGATTCAGTAAGTCTGGATCTGGGCCTGAGAATGTGCATTTTTAACAAGTTCCTAGGTAACGCTGATGCTCCTTGTTGAGGAATTACATTCTGAAAACCACAGGGTTAGGGTAAAGAATAACAGACTATACATATGGACACTGAAATCACACTGGATAACAGCAAAGCTTGGGAGAAAGAGAGTGAGGTGTTAACGCTATAATTAAGTGGGAGCGACCCAAGAAGTCAAGCGAATAAAAGCAGAAAGGACTACAGCATAGCTGGATAACTTAAGACGCAAGGATATACATGGATTTTAAACTGAAGTCGAGAAACTAAGGGCTTAGGACAATGACTTTGCCTCCTGACCATAAGGTGTATCAGGGAAAAAGCCAGCTTCAACTTGAGAAGGTTATAGGAGAATGTGTGTTCAGGAAAGAATCTGGTTTCAGGTTCAAGTCAAGTTCCAAATGAGTTGAATTCAAATTAAAACAAACTATTTTTTAATCTATCAAATTTAAAAATTAAAAATGGTAACACCATGACTGTGAAGGAGTCTATTTCTTTCATACTAAGAAAAAAACTGTTACGCATATTCAATTATTTATTTATAAGAAAGAAAGTGGAAGATATATACCAACAGTATACAATGATATAAAGTGAAAAATAAAAATTCCTCTTCCTAATCCTCAAGCCCTAGCTGATATCACCCTTGAAATGCTCTTATAAGTATTCTCCAAATTTTCTGTGCATGTGCCAGGCTATGTGCCAGGCTGCATATCTAAAGAGCACAAGAAATCCCAGAGGATACACACAAAGAGAACCACATCTAGATATATCACAGTTAAACTGTCTTAAGCTAAAGACACAGCAAATCTTAAAAAGTAGCAAATAGGGAACAATGAGATTAACTGCTGACTTTTCAGAAACAATGAATGCATGAAGACAGTAGAATGACATATTCAAAGTGATGCTAATGCATGAAAGGCCAAAGAGCACATAAATTTGTAGAAATTGTCAAACTGCATTACAAAAAGGTTACAACAGTTTATATTCTCTACTGTACTATATTCTCACATTACGTTTTACCGAACTGTTTAATCCTTACTAATCCAAAATGCAAACAAAAAACACAACTTTTTAAAATTGGAGTATCAAATTCTGATTTACATTTACATAGTTTACATAATGTTTATTAGCATTCAAATTTTTCTTTTCTTTTTTAAGATTTTACTTATTTGTGAGAGAGAGAGAGAGAGAGAGACAGAGAGAGAGGCGGGCACACGCACAAGCAGGGGGAGCAGCAGAGGGAGAGGGAGAAGCAGACTCCTTGCTGAGCAAGGAGCAGGATGCGGAACTCAATCCCAGGACCCTGGGATCATAACCTGAGCCGAAGGCAGCTGCTTAACCAACTGAGCCACCCAGGCGCCCTTCAAACTTCTTTCATCGTGAACTGCTTTCCATAGGATTATCTTCTTCTTGATTTGTAAGAGCCCTTATGATACTAGCCACATTCATTTTATGTGTTGAAAATATTTACTCCATTCCCCGCAAAAAAAATTTCATTCATTTTCATAAATTCATAGCCGCATCTCCCTAATCCAAATGCCTCCCCACTCTAAACTATCCTCCACTATACCAAAGTTGTATTTTTTTTTTAAAGCTTATTTATTTTTAGTAATCTGTATACCAAACATGGGGCTTGACCCCATCAAGAGTCACATGCTCTCCTGACTAAACCAGTCAGGCGTCCCCGACCCCAGCCAAATACATTGTATTTCTTAAAATATAAATCTTATTTTAACAGTCTTAAACCTTCTATGATGAAACTCAAACTGTCAAGGTCCTTTTATCCTCATCTCTAATATCCTGCTACACTCTACTCTAGCCACCAGAGAATACTTAATAGAGAAAAGCTCATGAAATATTTTAAAAATATTGGTATTCTTTAAGCAGTGTTACCCTCCACTCCCTCGATCCAAATTTTTACCCCATTTATATTACTCCTTAGACTCTTCAGGTGGAGGGGCACCTTGGTGGCTCAGTCGGTTAAGCATCTGCCTTTGGCTCAGGTCATGATCCTGGAGTCCCGGGATGGAGCCTGGAGTCCTGGGATAGAGCCCGATGCATTGGGCTCCCCAATCAGTGGAGAGTCTGCCTCTCCCTCTCCCTCTGCTCCTTTTCTCTCTCTTACTCACTCTCAACTAGCTAAATAAAATCTTAAAAAAAAAAAAAACTCTTCAGGTGGAATAATTTGCTTCTTTCTAACTGTACTTTATACATGCCTCTATATATAAAGTTTAAACTCTGCATTTTAGTATTATGAACCCCTTGGGAGAAGGAAATCTATCTTATGCTTCCAAGTAAGTATTTGCATAATGGATAAAAGGATACAGTGACCTGTGCTGATGAAATGTACTGATGAAACTGATGTATTGATGAAAGAACACAAGGAATCAAAGTATCAAGGGATAAGATATAGACAACTGGAAGGATAGTGGTACTTCAGGATGATACATAACTTATTTCTGCTAGCTTAAAACAATAATGGAAAAAAGGTTCACTGAAAGATAGAAACAGTATTAACATAGAGCTAACAACAAGCAATAGTAAATATATTTTAGTAAACCAAAGGAGGTTGAGGTTAATAAATTGGAATCAGTGAGCTATATAAACTGTACTGGTTAAGTCAATTTAAGGCTTTATTAGGTAGCTTAGGAAATTTGCTCATTAAAGTCCATGGCTGTTTTTACTTTTATTACCTTCAAATCCCAGTGCTTAAACACAGACAAACCTTTCTGCATAGGCAATTATCCAGTACTAACTACATGATCTGTTTGCAGATGGTTCAGGCCCTCAATCTGTTTATCTTCCTAGGTGAAGTCAATTAGGTAGCCTGAGGCTATGAAACAGCACTGATTCAAGAATTAAACAACCCAGGATTATCAACCACAGGTTCGGGACTAAAATCTATGCTTGTTTCTTCAACTTACTTTCTCCCTGCATAAGAGAACCTTTCTCAAGAGCAGTTAGCCAACAACTTCCAGATGTAGTGCCTTTGGGAGCAGTGTTTCAAATGCGGCCCCATTCCCCCTGGGTACCTCCTAGTGAATAACGGAGCCTGGAAGGGAATTATGGCCCAGCCATTTCTGCTTCCTGAGGCATTCGTCTATAGGCCATCTATGGAGTGGAGTTCCCTACAGGGCTGCCAGAGACTTACAGCTGCCCCATTGTCAGAGTCTCTTCCTACTTCCTTGTCTCTCTTAACAGGTGTCATACCTGAATCAAAATGTATCTACTCCTTTCTCTTTAACCTGCACAGATGCTATCCCACAACAATCTCCTTCCCTTTTAACTCTATCTTGGCATCTGCTTCCCACAGGACCTCAACTGACATACCAACATATCCTATTCTCCACTTCCAAGGTTTACTAAAACCTAGCTATCATATATTGCCCAGTATTTTGCCATATGTTTACAAGAATAGTATCTGGGCATTTAACTAATAAGTTAGAAATGAGCTTTTGTACAACGAAGGAATGTAGATTAGAAAGTCTCTTCCAACTAAAAATTCCAGCTCCTCTGAGATTTGAGCAAAAATTAATTTGGTTTAACCAACTAACCAATATTCAACATGCATAATCTATCAAAAATACTTACATAACTGTGTTGTCATCCACTAAGATATCACAACCATGAGCAGGACACGAAATAGTCTGAAAAAGATTGAAATTTAAACTATGTCTTCATTCAACAAATATTTACTGAATGCTTACCATCGCCAGGCACTTCAGTAGGTTGCGAATACCTTAACATTTATAGAATCTTAATCGTTCCCTTTCTATTAAAGGAAATGTATGTGTGTGTTTATCACCATAAGGTAACTAGAACTGCTGACCTGAATAATTGGTTTGTCAATATAAAACTTGAAAGGCACAAGCAAGACACCTGACAAAACTGTTCAACAAGTTTAGCCTATATACACATCCTAATGCTGCTGAGAAAACATTACCTGAATTGTATCTTTAACTGGACCGCCACATTGTAAATAGAAAAAAAGCCTTAATTATCTTTTAGTCTTAATATAGAAAAAAGTTCCCCATGCAATTCATAATTGACAATGCTTCACCTGTTTATATTTCTGCAAAGGTCTAAACACTGAAGGAAGTTCAACAAAAACTAAAAATCAAATTGGCATCTTTACCTGTCCCATGCCTTCCTCCATTATTTTGGTAGTTAAATATTCACTCCAGCACTGCATACAAAACTTATGTCCACATTCAAGGCCAGTGAAATACTGCAACAAAAATAATACATAGACTTTTCAAAGACATTATCAGAAAAATCACTATACATAGTGACTCAGTAAGTCTCTTATTAATTAGATCACATTTCTCAAAGTGGCTAAAATGTCTAATTTGACAAGACTAGTTGGGCTCCTAAAATAAACTTCTTGGTGGTGAAACTTAGACATGCAAATACATTTAACATAAAATACCTAATTAGAAATAGAAATGCATCTACAGTAGATACTTGCAATTTTTAGGAAAGGCAGACAAGTTCGTATTAAATATAAGAATATGTTATGTACCAATAAGCATATGAAAAGATGCTAAAAATCCTTACTTATCAGAGAAATGTAAATCAAAACCACAATGAGACAGGACTTCACACTCACTAGGACAGCTATATTCAAAAAGAGAGTAACAAGTGTTGGGAAGGATGTGGAGAAATTAGAACCCTCATACACTGCTGGTGGGAATGTGCAATAGTAGAGGTGCTTTGGAAAACACTGGCAGTTTCTCAAACAATCAAACACAGAGTTACTCATGACCCAGCAATTCCGGTCCTAGGTATATACCCAAAAGAAATGAAAACACAGCTCCACACAAAAACTTGTATACGAATATTCACAGCACTATCATCCAAGGTAGCCCCAAAGTGGACACAACCTAAATGTCCATTGACTGAAGAATGGATAAACAAAATGTAGAATATCCATATAAAAGAACAGTATTCAGGCATAAAAAGGACTGAAGTATTGATATATAATATAATGCCGGTAAGCCTTGAAAACATTATGCTAAATGAAAGAAGCCACAAAAGACCACATATTGTTTGATTTCCATGTATATGAAAGGTCCAGAGAATAGGCAAATTCATAGAGAAAGTTGATTAGTGGTTGCCTCGGATTGAGTGGCTTGTGGGGTAAGAGTCCGTAGCGACTCTAAGAGGAGACGAGGTTTCTTTTTGGGGTTATGAAAATGTTCTAAAATTTACTGTGGTAGTGACTGTACAACTCTGTGACTATACTAAAAACCACTTTAAATAAGTGAACTGTATCATATGTGAATTATATCTCAAAGCTGTATTAAAAAATGTCACACACACACACACACAAAATATCACACAAATACAGACTTCTGAGTTGCACAGAATGTAGCTTACCTAATCAATAAAATCTTATGGAAACCAAAAGATTTATTCAGATAGCTAAGAATAATAGTAACATTTGTTCTAATCTTGTATTACTTACATGATCTGAAATACTACTAATTTGATGGATAGTTAAATGAAGTATATTATATCCTATAATATACAAATAATGGTCACCAGTTTCAACTAAGAATATTTTACAATATTTACTCTAAATTATTATTATTTTTTTTTATTTATTTGAGAGAGAGAAAGAGAGAGAGCACATGAGAGGGGGGAGGGTCAGAGGGAGAAGCAGACTCCCCGCTGAGCAGGGAGCCTGATGCGGGACTCGATCCCGGGACTCCAGGATCATGACCTGAGCCGAAGGCAGTCACTTAACCAACTGAGCCACCCAGGCGCCCTAAATTATTTTTAAATGAATAGGTAATACAGGCTCATGGTTAAAAACAATTATTTAATAGTATGAGTTTATGTTGAAAAATAAGTCTCCCATTTTTTAACTTTATTTTTTTTTTTTAGATTTTATTTGACAAAGAGAGCGAGCGAGAGCACAAGCAGTGGGAACGGCAGAGGGAGAGGGATAAGCAGGTTCCCCACGGAGCAGGGAGCTTGATGCAGGGCTTGATCCCAGGACCCTGGGATCGTAACCTGAGCCAAAGGCAGACACTTAACCAACTGAGCCACCCAGGTGCCCCTGAAAAATAAGTCTCCCTTCTCCCCATCCTTGTCCTCTACTTCAGGAAAGTAATCGCTATTTCAATATCTTACATATTCTGCCAGACACGTTCTAACATACACAGGTACACACAGCAAGAGTAGCACCCACTCTCATCTTGGTTAATTATTATTTAATAGATTTCTCACGTGGTTCTACATTAGTACACAGGGGTCCACCCCTTCATACAGTCTGTGTGAAGGTACCATAATTTATTTAAATAATCCACCATTAATGGACATTTAGACTATTTTTTTTTCTTCCACTATGCTACTGCACTGGCTATATATACATCATTGTGATCATGCAAATGCATCTTGGGACTAACTTGTATAAGTGACATTGTAATATATTTACATTTACATTTTAATAGATTATTACATACACTTTACTTTTACATTTACACTTTAATAGAATTATCAAGCTTCATTCAAAAAGGTTGTAGCAGCTTATACTGTTCAAGAGAACCTGGTTTCCCAACAACCCTGTCAACATAGTATATTATCAAAACTCCTTGATCTTTGCCAATCTAACAGGTGAAAATGAAGTAACTTCATTAGTTTTGATTTTAATTTATTTTATGAGTGAAGTTTAAACATCTGAAAGAAGATTTAAGACTATGTATTTCTTTTTCTGTGCACTCTCTTCACCTACTTTGCCCATTTTTCCACTGGGTTTATATTTTTCCTTAGTGATTTAGTGGGGATTGTTACCTATTTAGAAAACTGGCCATTTATAAGCATAGAAAATATTTTGTTTTAAATCTGAATGCTCACATTTTGTTGCCATAAAGAAGCTCTCTACTTGTATGTAGCAAAGTGTATTAGTTTTAAAATTTCCAGCTTCTAAATTAACTTTAATATAAAGAGTTAGGAAGGAATTTAAGATTCTACTCCAGATGGTAACCAAGTTGTTCCAATACCATTTACTGAAATCACCTTATTTGAAATGCACCCTCCTACAATACACCAAATTCCCCTCACACATATTTAACTCTATCTTGTTCCACTGCACTAATTATTCTTGTATTTGGTAGGACTAGTTCCTCCTTACCCCCGTCAATCTAGTCTTCTTTTTCAATATTTTACTATTATTCTCTCTCCAAATACTCAAGTCATCTTTTTATCTCCTTTAGTATTTAAAGTTTTCTTCAGAATAGATCTTTCACATTTCTTGCCAAGTTTATTTCTAGCTCTTTTATTCTTTTTGTGGCCCACATTAAGTGGTACTTTTTATTCCATTCCATTTTCTAACTAGCTGTTATCTGAAAAATGCTCATGACATTTCTGATATTGCTTATGACATTCAGATACAAATAGTTAGGATACAAAATTCTATACAATAGCACATCAACTATATACAGAATGCCCAGAAGCAGATATGGAAAAAATGTATCAAAGTCCTGAGACTAGTCTTATGGATCAAATGACATGGAAAATATTTACCCAGCTTAAAATGTGGTGCTATTCAGATTGACAAGGATTCTAACTCATTCACAGAACAAGTGAAGGTAAATATTTTGGAAATCAATATTCTCATCCATTAAAAAAAAAAATCTAGGAAACAAAAGAATCTATTCTCACTACTCCCCACTTGTAAAGGAGATCTGGCACTAACTTGTTGTCAGATCACTAATGGAGAGCATCTGATTTTCAAGGCTATGAGAAGGAGCATTCTGTAAAGGACAATAATAGCAGTGTAAAAGATCAATAATTCTAAAATGTTTTATTCATGACTTAAAAATACATATGTATCCTCCTCATGTGCTTTGTTTTGTTTTGTTTTTTTCAAATAAGAATGCTTAAGATTGGGTGCCTGGGTGGCTCAGATGGTTAAGTGTCTGCCTTTGGCTCAGGTCATGATCCCAGGGTCCGGGGCTCAAGCCTCACATCGGGCTCCTGGCTCAGGGGGAAGCCCGCTTCTCTCTCTCCCTCTGCCTTTCCCCCTGCTCATGCTCTCTCTCTCACTCTCTGTATCTCTGTGTCTCAAATGAATAAATAAAATCTTAAAAAAAAAGAATCCTTGAGATTGAGAGACCAGAGGTCACAATGGTTACCAAGTGATCATTTCAAGTAACATCTCCACCTTTGGGAACTTCTGGACCAACGATGATTATAAGAAAAAAACAAAGCTTTTTATTCTTTAAAGGCCTCTTTTTCAATAATTCTTCTAATTAGATAATAATACCAAACAAGATAAATTAGAAAAATAAATCACACACTCATGTCTAAAGATAAAGCAAAAAAAACTAACCTGTGGTAATAAACACATTTATTGTGCTCAAGAGTGGTGTCATTATCGTGGACATATCTGGGTATCACCTTCTGGTTCCATTTCCCTTTCCCTCCTCCTCCTTTCACATACTTGTTCCCTTACTACCTTGTGCTTACCTACTTGGGTCCGTGACTCAAGGGATAGGATTACTTATCAGCTAACTTATTCATAAATAAATCTGACACAGAATACACTAAAAATACACAAAATATTACCTAAAACAGAAATTAATGGTCCTTTAAAAAAAGAACTGAAAGAATAAACACTCTTAAAGGGTTCATTTATCCCTGCCATTTTACATACACAGCAACTAATGTCAAACAGCAGTAAGAACATTAAGAAATATCTTTCCTCCATCAGAAGTTGCTCATATAATCTCTAAAGTTAAAGCCATTTTGTTTACAAAAACTGAATAATCAGGGCATCAGTTCCCTCATCCGAAAAATGGAATGGGTTAAAAAGGAATATAGGTTTGGACTTAGATTCCCAGCACAAAGATTCAGAGGTGCCCAAGGGATGAGGGATGGGAGGGTGGATTATCCTCACAATCATCAAAGTTGCCTTTATGTAACATATCTGATTCTTAGAATATACAAATTATTTACTTCATAAAAATGAGATATCACAGCCCAACCTATATTCCCTAGTAGAGTGAGGGTGTTAGCAAAGCTAGATCTTATGCTTTAATTCAAAACAACATTATTACAAAGTGAATGACTGTTGCCAGGGCTAAGAAACCCTTGTGTTGAGGCCAATGTATTGGGGAATTTATGAACTTTAAAAATGCCCCAAAGTCTCAGGAAATTGTTTTTAAAGAAGAGATCACCCACAATAGTTAACCCCAAAGTGCTAAACTTGTTTGCATGTGGCACTGTATAAAGCTAAAGTTGCTTTCTGGAAGGATAAAGGTACTGAAGATATATACATTAATAAAAGGCTATATCAGTGTTTGAAGAGAGAGATGGAAATTGAAACATGGGAATTGTACAACAGAGGTAAAAAAAAAAAAATCACTCATCCAATTAAAGCTTTCATGGCATCTCAGGTGACATTTACTTGCAAAAGTGAAGAGGTTAAAATTATCTTTCTATATTAGTCTAAAAACCATGAGAAAAGAAGTCCTAGTTTTATCACACTATATTTTTTATAATACTTGGCATAGTTTCCATAACTCTTTAACTTACTTTCCAACCCATGTTGCTGTTTGCTTTCTTGTCCTGTCATTTACATAGCCTAACTTCCTTTAAAGAGCAATTTGTTCATCTTTAGTGCCTCCATTTCCTTTCCCATCTTCAAGTCAATGATTCTTCAGCCCATGCAGTATGGTTTCTCATCTTACCATACTACTTAAATTAACTTTCCAATAGCATTGGTAAACTTCATGTTGTTAATTCCAAATTCACTTTTCAATTCTTTGAAGTTTTTTGCAATGTTTTTACCATTCTTGGAGGTACAGTCTCTTCCTCTGGCTTCTGTATTGCTTTATTTTCCTGGTTCACCCGACTATCACACTTTTAGAGGTTATTTCACAGGTCAATTTCTGTGGGAAATTCTCCCCGATCTAACACTGGGTTAGGTATCTCTCTCCAACGTGTTCCCACAGTATCATGCCCTATTCAAGTGCTTACTTTTCTTTCTGAATATGTCATTTTACTTATCTACCCAGCTAACCTGTAAATTATCTGAAGCAGGCATTATGCCTTTATTCTCCATTGTGTTTCTAACACTTTAAATAGTGCCTGGTGCACTGAATAAATGAATAAATGAATAGTAGGTTCTCTATCATCAGTTACAAGTGCAAGTAAAATTTACAATGCAAATCTCCAGTCTTGATTTTTAATTCTAATTTGTTAAGACTGTTAGACAATACCAAGGGCACTGAGAAAGTTATAGGGGATATTTGTAAGCAGCTAGCTTCAGGACTCAAATTACATTTAAGATTTAAACGAGGAAGGAGCTGGTTGTAATAGAGCAGGAGGAGAAATGCCAGGGAATAAGGAAACCCTGTATAATCTGGGACAATTCCTTGGGTCTCAGTATTACCTCACAGAAACTTTTATGAACTATACAAATGTACCTGGCAAACAGAATTTGTTAAAGACAGACAATAAAATGGTCAAAACATGAATTTAATTATTTTTAATATTAAGTAATGTTGATTTTTTTTTTTTAAATACTCAAGACTGTGATTTAAAGGAGGGAAATTATACAATTCTCAGAATAGTAGAGATTTGAAAGAATATCTTAACTCATTTGAAAGATTAAAATAACTCAGACCCAGTGAGATTTAATAATTACACAAAGCCAAATAGTTCGCATCAGAGCTATAATTAAAACTTGAGAATTTGGAAATTCAACTCAACACTTAACCTACAAAGTTATTTTAACTCATTGTTCTATTTCTCTAAGAGTACTTAATTTTCTTTTAAAACCTCTTTTCTAAGCACTTGGATGTGAGCAAATTAGTTCCCTTCAAATGGGCCTCTACAGATACATATATAAACTTCTAAAAAAAACAATGAAAAAACGTCAATGTGTCAAAATACTGGTGACAGACTTTGTATATAGTAATTAGAAAGAGCTGCTTAACTATTAAAGCAGAGAATATGAATAAGATAGTTAGAATTAAGTTATTTCTTAGATATCTTGAAATATCTTAAAGAGGTGAATTCCAAGTGACTAAATACATTTATGTCACAAATAGTATTTTCTTGTAGTTACTAAAGTAAGGCCTTCACAGGAAGATTATGTTTAAGCCTAAAATTCTTTACTAGACACACCAAAATAAATTGTCTATATTCAGTGGGTTTTAAGGGGGATACTTTCACTCAATTAACTGGTCCCAGTGTCTGCTCCAACTGTTACCACTTGCTATATTTAAGAAATTCCATCAGAATGGATCTGTATAAGTGAAACTCTTCTGTTATGAAAAATCTTCAAAGCTCCCTAGTAAAATACTATTAAAGACATTTTATTAGTGTTTTGGGTATTTATTTTAAAATGTTAGTTTTAAATCTATCTTATTTTGGATAAAAAATAATTCTACTCACTGCCCACCTATTAAACAATTCTCCCATGATAGTAAAATAAACTCAGAATAGATTTAGATGTTTAATGACATGTTGCTGCTTTAAAAAGCAAACAGGGGAGGAAGGTGAATGAACAAGCTCTATTCTTTCTCTTCCTTTCCTTTATCCTTAATATTCTGATAGGTTACTGTTTTACTACAATACAATCCCAGACTCCCAAATCCTCCTCGGTTTAAATAATTTAAGTTGATTTACCCTCTGAAACAGAGAGTTAGTGCTAGCCTTAAACTACCAGATACTCACCGAGTTAGGGTAGTTCAAGTAGCAGATCTGACAAGGCATATCCTGTGCTGATGACCTTGTATTCATCTGGCGTGTTCGAGACTTTTTACTTGGATTAATTACATGACACTCAGCAAAGAGCTTCTCCAGGTTTCCATCAAAGTACCTGCATTATTTAAACAGAAAGGATGAGAGCCCAGCAATAGCACACTGTTAGAGCTCTCCAAAAACCTGATTTTCTATAGGGAACAGCAATGAACTGAATTAAAATAAACCCAGATCATAACCTTTTTGGCTCAGAGGAAAGGAGGTGTATGGCTACAAACTATAGCAAAATAGAGGTGCGTGTGTGTGTGTGTGTGTGTAAAGCAGATTAAGTTTTTGTTGCTATTTTGGTATTTTTTACTTTGTTTTTATCCTGGAAAGTTAAGCTATTAGTATTTTAACAGTACTACAACTAAAATTTAAGAATGCAAGTTGTACTATCTCTAGTGGTACTTTAATGAAGACTAATAGTATTTTAAAAGGCTAGGCTAATATTTTAAACAAATGACTTTATTAATAATTTTAGTTACACCAGCTTAAATATATTAGCAAGTAAACTACCTACAAAGCATATTTTATCCCACAAATCACTTACATGTCTCATTCTACAAAACAGATTTCATTTCTAAATTTTTTTAAAAAATAATTTTTAATTTACTAGCAAAGGGGAGGAAGGAGGAAACAAAAAAAGTGCATCTTAAAATGTTTTTATATCAAATAATCTATATACTTAGCTTTTCATAAAATATGTTTCTTCTTTACATACAAAAAAGAGGTTCTCAACTTAAAGAATAAGTGATACTCAAAGGAGATTTCCAATTATTTTTAATGCAGGTCTTGTTCAGGTTTTGTGTCAAAGCACTTACTGAATCTCTGGAAAATCACTCAAATGAGAACAAATCACATTACTCTCTCAAGACTAACAAATATCTATTTATAAATAACTACAGAATGTTTCAATGAAATGATCAAATTATTAATCAAAATGTCAATACATTATAAAAGAGGAACTCATATAAAGTTAAAGTTGTCACTGATGATTCAGCTAATCAAATTATATAGAGCAGAAAATCAAATGCTTTCCCCCTAATTATCTCTCAGAAAACCTAAGATGTCAAGTTTTATTTGAAAAGTAGAAAGCAGGGGCGCCTGGGTGGCTCAGTCGTTAAGCGTCTGCTCAGGTCATGATCCCAGGGTCCTGGGATCGAGCTCCGCCTCAGCTGAGCAGGAAGCCTGCTTCTCCCTCTCCCACTCCCCCTGCTTGTGTTCCCTCTCTTGATCTGTATCTCTCTGTCAAATAAATAAATAAAATCTTTAAAAAAAAAAAAAAGTAGAAAGCATATGAAGCTACTAAATATGAACAGGTAAAGAAACTAAACACCTCGTTTTTAGAAAAAATATTTATGCTCATAAGAAGAGACAAACTTCTGCCATCCAAATTTGACTACATGAAATTAGTAACTCCTAATACTCTGGTGATCATTCTAGACACCATTCTATGCATATACAGCCAAAAAGACATGTGTCTGTAATTTCATGTAAATAGTATTTATTCCAGATTTATAACCTTCAGTAAACAATATGTTAAGATATCTTTGTCAATGAACATACGTTTTCATCACTGCATAATATTCCACTGTAGGTATGTACTGTAATTTACCTAACTAGCCTTATACTAAGGGACATTTAAATGTTCCACATATAAATAATTCTAAATGAAAATCTTGGCCCATCTGATTGGGGGAAAATATCTAGACTTAACTTGCATTTCTTTGTTACTGAGGCTGAACACATTTTTCTGTGAACATCTTATTAATTTATGAGTTCAATATGTCAACAGAAAGGGTAGGCCTTCTCATGGACTACTTTCTTCCCCTCAGTTTCTAGTTTGCCCTCAACCTTGTTTAATGATGTTTAACTGTCACATTTAATTTTCATGTAGGCACACTGATCATGCAACCCTGTTGTGAGTTCTGGATTTCATATCAAGCTTTACAAGATCTCATTACCTAAAGATTATAAAAATTCATCCATGATTTATTTAGGCTTAAACTGTTTTCCATTAAAACTGTTGATTCACAAGGGAATTATTTTTGTGTAATAAGGAATAAAGTTGGGATTCCATTTCTTTTTTTTTAAAGATTTTATTTATTTATTTGTGAAAGTGAGAGAGAGAGAGAGGGAGCACACAAGCAGGGGGAACAGCAGGCAGAGGGAGAAGCAGGCTCCCTGCTGAGCAAGGAAAGGAGCCTGATGCAGGACCCAATCCCAGGACCCCAGGATCAGGATGGGAACCGATGGGAACCAAAGACAGCCACTCAACCCAGCGGCCCAGGCATCCTGGGATTCTATTTCATTTCATTTTAATCTAAATGGCTAACCATTTGCTGAAGGGTGTTTCAACTACCCCAAACACTTCCTCCTACCTTTAGGTCTCAGCTTAACGCTCAGTTCCTCCCCACTGCGGCCCCCAAATTAGGTAAGGTTCCCTGTATAACCTTCTCATGGTACTTTTGTGCTCTTGCACAACACTTAATCACATGATCAACTCCGTAATCATTTATGTTTTCTCTGCTGGGGTGTAAACCCCATGAGGACTATCTTATTATTGCTGTAGCCCCAGTATCTAGAAGAATCTTATTATAATCATTTCTTTTTTTAAAGAGGAACCGAATTAGAGTAACTTCTTAAAGATAATCCACAGTAACAAATCTGAATTCCTTTGCTTTAGGCGTATTTCAGACTGTAATGGGTTTATTAACTTTTTGAGACACTCTAGAAGACTTTGGAGAACTTTCAAATACTGCACAGGTAAACAGAATGGGGAGTTTAAGAATCCACTCATACTGTCAGACATAATGGGCCTAGAAATCTTTTTCTTTTATTAAGTTCCATTTCATAAGAAATTTAACATTTTAAAATTCTGTTCTGTTTTTATTAATTACATGGTCTACCAATGACTGTAACAGTTATTTGGAAATATTGAAATCTAATTTATTTTCACTAAACACTTAAAATCAGTACTTAAGTCTATTTCTTAAGTTGTCGACTTTAAATATGTTGGGCATCCTTATGTTACATGACCCTACACTTAACCCTCCAGTTTTGGTGGAAATCTCTGGAGCTTTTCCTAGTTGATTATCATTTTTTTTTTAAAGATTTTATTTATTTATTTGAGGGAGAGAGAGACCGCAAAAGAGGGAACACAAGCAAGGGGAGTGTGAGGGAGAAGCAGGCTCCCCACCAAGCAGGGAGTCTGATGTGGGGCTCAATCCCAGGACCCTGGGATCATGACCTGAGCAGAAGGCAAGCACTTAAGGGCTGAGCCACCCAGGCACCCCGATTATCATTTTATGTAATTGTTTCACTAATCATATACATTGTTTTTACATTATATAGCTTTCCTTTCAAGAATGGTAAAAACTTTTTTTGTTCCTTAACCTGATTACCTAATTACTCAGACATAATTCAAATGCTTACTTTGGCCAAAATGTGCCCCCCCGCCCCAGTATTCTTTATACTGACAGCACCCATTTCCTTCTGGTACCTGTTGTTATTGAAGTCTGTGGTCAAAACAATTTTTCTCATTTTATAATTCAAATCCTTTTTCAATTGGCATATTTATAATTTTGTTTTCTTCATTCTTGAAATTCAGTAGTTCTGTAGGCTTTATCTTAGCATTCAAACTTTCTTTTTTAAGATTTATTTATTTATTTATTTGACAGAGAAGAGAGCAGGAAAACAAGCAGGGGGAGTGGGAGAAGGAGAAGCAGGCTTCCTGCCGAGCAGAGAGCCCGACGTGGGGCTCGATCCCAGGATCCCAGGATCATGACCTGAGCCGAAGGCAGACGCTTAACGACTGAGCCACCCAGGCGCCCCTAAAACTTTCTCTTTCAAAATGCCATTCAGGTCTCAATCACTTCAAGATCCTTTTTAGTTATTAAGACTGTGCCCTACTGGATTTGTACCCAGTCTTTGTGAATTTGTCCTCTGTGTCTACCATTTGCTAATTCCTTCTTTGTCCTTTTCCTGTCTTATATGTCTCTATTTTCCATAGTACCTGCTCTGTTTCTTGCTATTGCCAATGTGGTTTAAGTTGTGTGGGATTACCTGTCCCTTTTTTCTTCTTAGTTTCATCAGCTTCCTTTTTATCTTTTTTTTTTTTTCCAAAGATTTTATTTATTTATTTGACAGAGAGACAGCGAGAGCAGGAACACAAGCAGGGGGAGTGGGAGAGGGAGAAGCAGGCTTCCTGCCGAGCAGGGAGCCCCATGTGGGACTCGATCCCAGGACCCTGGGATCATGACCTGAGCCGAAGGCAGACGCTTAACGACTGAGCCACCCAGGCGCCCTATCTTGTTCTGTTGTTTTATCAATTCATCTTTGATCCCTCATCTCACAGTCTATGTTTATTTTAATTTCCTTAAGAGAACAAAGAAGCTTTTTCTTTCTAATTATGATAGTTTTATTAAGGACAACTATGCTCAAGAATATGGGTGGATTCTTAACTCCCATACTTTGTTTACCTGTTCACTATTTGAAAAGTCCTTTAGTTACATCCTCCCTCATGCGAAACAGGCCAAAATGAAGAGATTGATTCAGTGTGAAGCACTGCTGTTCAGGTATCTAGTTTAATCAGTTAAGACACAATTCTCTCTGCTTCTATGACTTTACTAAACACCTGCAAAGCTTATTCTACGACATTGTTTCCCTCCTTTCCTGCAACTCTTGCCACCCACCCCCTTTTGAGAAAACTATTCGTTTGATGAAAATAGAAATAAGAATAGCAGTGTGGTTTTTCCCTTAGTGCAGTCTTTCCTCAGTCAGGGAAGGGTAGAATTAGAGTAACCCCACCTCATCTATCACATGGCCTAGACGTCTCTAGATTAAGATCGTTAGAAGGGCAATTGGAGAGGTTTCTCAGTAGAGATTTTAAATCCTCTTCTCTAAGGCTTTCTGTTCATTTAGCATGTTTACCGAAATATGGTTAGGCAAACTGGCACTTAATTAGCCAACTTTCCAGAATATCTAGATCTTAATTTCTCATTTTACTTGACTTCTGGACAGAAATATACCAAACAATTTTAAATTTTAAGGCACTAACAGTTACGGCCTAAGAAC